AACCACGAAAATGGACCCGCAGGGCAACCATGTATAAATATTAGTGCGCATGCCCAACATTTCGTCGCTTATTTTTGCTTTGGTACGACAGCGCCACTTACAGGCGTGGCATAGATTTTGCAGCGTTTTCATGCATTCGTGTGGACGATCCCATTTATTTTACGTCTCCGTCTTTACGGCAAATGTTTTGGAAAATATCAGCGTTTCGTGTTCGTTTTGACTTCGTGTGGACGGAGCCTGAGACTATGAGAGAGAGAGATTTTAGATTTTAGCAACTCATTTATTATCAATAAATAATCAACATAGTATCACAAACTATGTAGCAGAAAAATGCAACAAAAAGAAAAAAATATATATTACATTAACACTTTTCCAAAAATAATTTCTCCTCCTACCACTCTACAAATTACCTTCTCATAACTCCAGATGCGACAAAGAGAATCTGAAACTGATCTGTAAAAATTATATTCAAGTATTAGCCTAGACTTCACCAGGTTAATAAAGAAGGAAACCAAGTCAATATTCAAATCTTCCACCACCTTCCCCTACTTATGTACACGGCCATTTTAGCCTGTCCCAACAATAAATTAATCAATTCACATTTGCTCCTTTTTTGGCGTCTGAATCTAAATCTAGAAATAAATCCGTGTTTAGTGAACATTTCTCCATATCTGTTGAAAATAGTTCTGAAAAGCACAAAAAGAGCCGACAGACGAACACAGTCAGAAAAACAATGAAACACTGTTTCTCTCTGTTCACAAAATGGACATTTATCTTCTACAGGAGGATTAATAACAGAAACTAAATAATTAACAGCTACAATACCATGAAGGATTCTCCATTGTTAATCTGCATGTTTGTTTTTTTTCGTTAGAGGAGGCTTAAACAACAATTTCCATTCAGGTTTGAATTCAGGTTTTAAGGAGAAATGAGTTTTCCATACTGTGTCACTGCGTCCATTCAGTTTCTATTGATTGAGAGTTTTAACAGTCATTCTATAGAAAACTTTTCCAGAAGCTCCTTCTAGGGATATTCCTTTATTGTCCACTGAATCCAAAAAAGGGCCAAAGCAGTTCTTTATCCCAGGAAACAGTCTGAAGGATGGAAAAGGATCCAAGTGATTTGGTGACACAGAACCCTCATGATAATCAGCCAAAAGTGAACATTCATGGTCACTTAACTTGTGCTTCCAGAAGCACAAGAGCTGAGCGACAAATCGAACAGATTTTATTCCCAAACAGGCAGCGAGCGTAACAGGATCATCCAGCCGAGGTCCAGCCAGCTCCACCACCCTCCCAAGGCAATACACTTGCAGTGTGGATCAGTCTGGGGCAGGTTGTTGCCCCCCAAGTAGGAGAATCCAACAAACTCCCAAACAGAACCGGTTCCTGGAGCAGCCAGTGTAGAGACTCAGCCTGCTGCTGTCTCTCCTTCCTCAGCAAAGACCACAGAGAAAATACTCCTGTAAAAAACTGGAAGAAGAGAAGAGTTAGAGTTTCTAGAGTCCATCAGAAAGAGACGCAAATCCAGACCCATGCCACCGAATCTCTGAAGACTGCAGCACGATAACCTCCTCCACACCAGATCTGCAGGTCCTGTGAGCAGTCTCTGAATAAACTGAAAACGAAAAGCAGCACCTCTGCTGGCCAGGTGGACCAGGCCTTGACCACCTTCTTCTCTCTGCAAAAACAGGATACTTTGAGGAATCCAGCGAAGTTTATCCAAAAACATCAACCAGAACCCTTTGAACATTTGATAAAACTGGAAGATCAACACACATCAGCCGGTGCCACATGGTGGAAGAAACTAGGTTATTAATGACAAGAACTCGTCCTCTATATGACATTTTAGGTAAAATCCACTTCCACTTCAAAAGTCGACCCTTAACTTTATCCAATACATTTTCCCAATTTTTTTGCACAAACGTTTCATTACCCAAGAACACAGCTAAATATTTAAGGCCACCCCTTTTCCACACTAAGCCTCCAGGCAGACCGAGCTGATCCCCCAACCGGCTTCCTACAGTTACAGCCTCACTCTTTCTCCAGGTTACTTTTGCAGAAGAGATACAACCAAAATAAAAAAAAATGTTGACTAAAACATCAATATCTTCCTGTGTGTTTTAAAAAAAATATCAAATCATCAGCATAAGCTGACAGTTTTAAAGAGACATCACACCAGGAATAGAAACACCACAGAAATCTTTCCTCAGCTTCTCAGAGATGGCAAAAGTACTCACTTTCCGTACTTGAGTAAAAGTACAGATACTTGTGTTAAAAAATACTCTGGTAAAAGTGGAAGTAC